TTTGTTTCATTTGACTTTGTAACATGAATTATACTGCATAATAGCTATGCAAATTTAATTTTTAAATGAATCACTAAAATAAAAAGTAAAATGAATGACCAGAGACAGAAAATACTAAAAGGGCCTATAAAACATTTTATAATAATATTTTGACTTTGCTTGCTAGTGGTACAAAATGTAAACCCTGAATAGCTACTTTTGTTAGCAGACTGCTTTTTATAATAATATTGTTCATGTCAGTGCTTTATTTATTTTTCAGAAACTGTAAATGCCCTGGAAGATAAAACATGAATAATTGTGTGGGCATCATTGAGAATAGAGGTTTCTCATTATGAAGAAGCAGATACATACAATAGACAAGTGAAGCTATGTAAAAACTCTGTCACCTTTAATTCAAATGAGAAATATAAATATCCTTAAGATACATATGCTATATTCTAACCATTCAAAATTTCTCAGAATCTGACTAAATTTGGAGCACTAAACATTCCTCACATAGCTTAAAGATACAATTTGCCTAAAAGTTGCCAGCCCACCTTGTAGAAAATACTGATTCTGTAAATAGGGTGGGATTTACATAAAATATCTTGATTTTAAAGTAAATAAGGGGATTGGGTATGTAGCTCAGAGGTAGCATACTTGCCAAGCACATGTAAAACCCTGGGCTAAACCTGATCACCACCAAAAAGAGAACAAGGTAGTTATTCAGACAGTCTTTGACTGCTCTGTACCATGTTTCAAGAACACCAAGGTGCAGCCTAAGAAAATGTATCGCCAATCTAATCATCACAGGAATAATGATCATGACAGATGATATATGTATTTAATGCCTGTAAATCCAAAAGTTCTTAATAAATATCAGTTCCAATTGGTCTTTCCCATTTGGGGGGAATGGAAGAAATGCTACAAGAGGAAGAATCAGTCATTTATCATGCCTTTTATTCAATATCTTGTTCTTTTAATCTAATGGTTAGCAAACAAAAAAAGTTTATTTCATGGAAGTATTCTAGATCTTGTGAGAAAATGAAAGAATGAGAACACAAACATGTTACTAATGTTTAGTAATAGATCCAAGTAATTATCTTCAATGTTTGATATAACATGAAGAGGGATGGAAACATACAGTATCATCTCTACAAACCAAATTGAAACAATTTGATTAACAATCTTAATTTCACTCTCAACTTATTTTCTAGAACTAAAAGAAACATAAGAGTGTGTGAAAAAGCATTGTTAGGTTAAATATGGGAAATTCAGATCCTGGAATATCAACATGATAATTTAGTTTCTAACTATAGAGGAAAATAAAATGAACAAAAGTAGATTTAAGATTCAAAGAGACCTAATATGCAAATAAACTTACTCTCTAATACATGCATTTTCTATGGATCTGAATTCAGGCAAATGATAACAATCAAACAATTAAAAGAGACTCTTTATAAGACAATTGGATAAATGCAAATATTGACTGCATATTCAACAAGATAAGGGGATGATTGATTTTGGTGTGATAATGGTATTGTGTTTGTGCTTTAACAAAACTCTTATCATTTAGAGACACTAATTAAATAGTTATACCAGACATGATATATTGCTTTGAATTGATTTTAAATAGGAGGAAAGGTGAATATATATACTAAAGCAATATCAGCCATATAATGATAACTTAAAACTGAGTTAAGTTTTATTATTCTCTGTATTTTTATATTTTGAAGTATTTCCATAACATTAATCTTCAAAATACAAAAAAATAGAGATAAACCAGTTATTTCTACCCTTTAATGAGTTGCCTAAATTTGAAGACCTAATGATAGAACTAAAAAGGCTTGACAGATGGGCATAATTTATGTGCCTGAATCTTTACAATTACTCATTAAGTAACCACATCATATAGTGAGATGAGTTGAACTTCTCTCTTACTCTCACTCAGACCAAGGACTAGGTGTTACCTAATACAGTGGAAATGTTCTTAATTCTTTTAAGGATAAGCCAGTAACTATACATCTTTTCTCATCCATATAGTGGCTGTTAGTGGATTTTTCTATAAAAGGGGGTTATAAACAGCTATATAGTTAGGAGTGTGGAGGCGTGCCTTTGGGATGTTAGGAGACTTTCATGGATATGGAGTTTGTTGCTGTGTGAAATGATTTACAAAAGTGGTAATGAAGATTGTAGGCAAAGACCTGCTCAGCACCTCCATTTGCTATTCTGTTAACCAACAAATCCTCTAGCATCTATCTTAAAGGATGTCCAAAATATAAGGGCATCCTTGCCTCAGAAAAGTAAATAAACACTGTTTTTTTTTCCCCTACATTTTGTGACTCAAAAAATGTGCTTCTGTGTAAGAGACAGACTGTGGCAATCGTCTTATTTGGCTTAAGCACAATGCACTAGGTTATGGAATGCCAGCAAATTACCTCATTCTATTGTTTCTGGCTTGTTGAGGGAGAGAGATGGTATTGGCTAGAACTGCATGGCCTACATTCAGATCCAGCCTCTGCATCTTACTTACTGGTCATAGCTATAGAAAATTTAATTACTTTCTTTTGGTTCTTCCATTTCATTAATACAAAAATGAAAGGAGCCATTTTTTTTAGGGCCATTGCATAGATAAAATGAGTTAGTAAGTTAAAAAGTCGTGACATATAAGAAATACTGAATAAATGTTCATCATTTTCATCATAAGAAAATTGTTAGAATATACATTAAGAAGTTTAAGGTTGTGATCACTTGAGACATTGGGAAATATAAAAAGTGTTTTCATGGAAGTCCATATATCTCACTGGGCTGAGAAAAGGACTTGGACATGGTGGAACACATAAAATTGACTGTCTGCTTACTCATAAGGTGCTTATGGGATGGATATTTATAAATTCAAATCACAAAGTTCTTTGTTTTCCTTTAAATTACTTTAAACCACCAGGGACAGCCCTATTGTGAACAGCTAAAAATTAACTTTTTCCCTTAAGAGTGAACATTTTTAAAAAGGAAGATTTAGAAAATGTACTTTTATAACCATCATTGTACACACTCTAAAATGTGYAACATAGAACAAAAAATCTTTAATATTCCTTATTTATGTATTAACTATATRTAGCATGATTAGAAAATTTAAATTAATATCTAATTCTAAATGAGATTTAAGGTATAACTATACATAAAATATCTATTCATATTTCTGAATTACCTTTGTTAGAAAGGGAATATTTTACTTTCTTTACCTTTTCAAAATGTTAGTTTATCAATAGGGCTGTAGGAAGCAAGTAGAGTTATTCTGATTAAGATATCCAATCATTGCAAAATTTTATAAAAATCAACATATATAAATATGGGTTATGCATTTGTTTCTTATTATTTAAAATGCTAAATACCTCAATTTCATGCTGYTAATGCTGATCATGTCTGTAATTAATCTCCTAATGATTAACAAAGAGCGACACTTTTAGATGTCAAATAAATGAGAATAATAGCTTTCATGAATTTTATGAAAACCAATTTATTAAATTGGTTCTTAATATCTTGGATAACTTCCAGTGGTACAAATGAATGAAATCCAAATGAAGTATTYCCTTTGAAGACAAGATTAATACATGAAAATACTCTGGAWGGAAACCTATCTCTTTCACAGGGGCAGTGATTTTAAAATTAAATATATGGCATTGTTTAAAATGATATGGCAAAGAATGAGGTAAAAACAACACTTAAAAAAGATGAAGGACATATTTAATAATGTAAGATGATTTTCAAACATAGTATGGGACACTTAATTTCCAGAAGCCWCTTTAACGAGAAATGCTTAGAGGTCTTTAAGATTCATTATTAAACAGTATTTATTTTSTTTTTGCATATTTTACTATGAAGTCTCTTTTTCATATTCAGTGTATATCAGAGAATAAAACTAATGTGATACTTTCCTACACAGTACTGACAATAATAGAGTGACATCAAAGACAGAGCTATATTATAAAAACATGTAGACATAATTACACATTTGACAATGCAGAAATAATTATGGTACTTTTAGTAATTATTTCTTAGTAACTAATATGGGCCATACAGCAACCCAAAGCTTTCATGATTTTGTCTTTGTCTAGTTCTCCAGCCTCAACTCTCTTTGTGCCTAGCACACAGATTTTGCAAGTCCATATTTAAGTATTTCCAGTTTCCTAAACTTGTCATTCTTCATAGAACCCTTAGTCTTTGTCATGATTCTTTTCACTGAATTACCATTTTTTTTCTTCTTCTGTCACCTCATAATAGAATTATCAAACATTTTTCCATTCCTCTGATTGAAGGATAGAAAGCCTTGTATATTACCTATCTTTACCAGGAGTGAACTGATCCCATTCTTCTTTGGGCTTGCACTGTGCAACAATGCAGATTGCATTTTAGCATTTATATAACACCACCAAACTGATATGTGACAAAACTGTCTCTTCATTCTCAGCCACGGTCATTTCTCCACATGTTGCCAGCTTTGAGCCAAATCATTGATTGTTGAGTTCATGCTGTGATTTAGCTAATACTATAAGTCCATTGCATGATTATTAATAGTAAATTTTAAGATTCAGATATTGTGAACATTTATTAGATCATTCTTATGTATTTTAGAGATAATTTAAGACATATTAATACCTTGTGGGGACTGTAGATTTTTTCTATGTCAACCTAGTCTTGATAACATTTATGATAGATATTGTTGGATAGAAACTTCTACAATGATGAAAAAGTTCTGTATCTGAGGAGTCCTGCCAGGTAAACAGTAGTCATAAGTACCTTATGAGCAGTTTAAATGACCCATGTGACTAAGAAGATAAGTTGGAAGCTCATTTTAATTAATTTATATTTAAATTTAAGAAGCCATATATCATATAAACTAGTGGCTACTTATCAGACAACATCACTCTAGATAGTTAATGTTAGAATTCAAATATTTTCAATGTCACATCATGTACCATTTGTGCATACTAATGCATTGCCATTCAATCAAATAACTCCCTATACTTACCTGGCAGGAAAGATACCATKATCACAAAGGTGACTTTCCAAAGACAAGACTTACCCATTGCACCCCAGAAGTGCCCAGCCCTGCATTTTTCAAATGTGAGAAACTCAGCTGCATAATTTGGGGGGTAGTGAGGACTGCATGTGCTATCTTCCCTATAAAAAAAAAAAAGAAAGAAAAAGAGAAAAGAAAAAGAGCAGCAAAAACCTTTCTAAACAGATGTTTTCCCAGATACATTTCTGTGTACTAGGAATTTAAAGATAATACCATTCATTCTTAAAACTCTGAAGATTTTTTTTTTTTTTAATTTTGAAGGAAGAGTTGTGATTCTATCCACCTCTAATCTGGCACATCTTTGAAAAACAAACATTGCCTTTATCTCATCTCTTTCATAAAAAGTGACTAATTTGCAGACAAAAGAAAGAAAAGTAAGTTAAGAATACAAAGTAAGCTATGTGAAACAAGAAAACAAATATGAAAGATAAGTAAAGATACTGATGATACAATAAAAAATTCAAAATTAATTTAGTAGAATACAGAAGGTGAAACCAAAATAATATTAGAATGATAAACATTTTAAGAAATAATCCTTTAGATTTTTCTAAATTTAAATTTAAAACTGMAGATCTTAGATTCTATAGATTTAAAACTTGTTTTATAAAATATTATCCCTTCTAGCCTATGTGCTTGGTGAGAGTATATATTATTTCTTACTTGTACTAGTGCTCTTTCACCAAGAAAAGTGGTTGCCTCTCCATAGGAAGCTCTCAGTAAATATTAGATAAAAGACAAATTTAATCCCTATGTCCTGAGCAATATAATAAAGAAAACAATTAATCTTCATAAAAACATATTGATGAAACTAAACRATTAAAATACAATAAATATTGTAATCAAATTTGGAACTGCAGACCTTTTACATGGCAGTAGCATGGATATAATATTTATCATCAAGAGGAGATAATAATAGTGCAAATATCCTTCAAGTGATAAGGTAAACTGAGAGAACAAGTAAATTAGTTTATATAGGCAAACCAGTATTCAAATGTCTAATTTTCTTTTCCTTCCTCTGGCTAACCAGTATTTGAGTTCCATGTCTTACTTTTTCCCAGTGGTTTAATGCATACATGAAATAATAATGGGGATGTGTGTGTGTGTGTTTATAGCTGTACACTTACCTGTAAATGTTTACATAAGTTACATAGGTTTTGGTTATACAAGAAGAAGACATTCAGTTCAGGAAGATGGTATTTGTATTAGTCAAAGATCCCAGAAAGACATAACCAATAAAATATGAATGTAATGTAAGAGAGAAGATTTATTAGGGAAMTTGTTCACAAAATTACTATGGCTGAGAAGTCTCATGATGGGTTGTCTATTGGCTAGAGACCCTGGGATGTCTTAGGGTGGCTCAGTTCAATAGACAGCACCAGGAAGTTAGTGGAATAATTTACTTTTTTTTTTTTTTTTTTTTGCTGAAATCCTGGGAACCCTGAGAGGACACTGCTGATGTAAGTCCTGGAATCCTAGTATTGAAGGCCTGGAGGCCTATGTCCAAATCAGGAGTCAAGAAGCCCTAGCTCTTCACCTTTGTATTTGTTCTCTTTGTCTCTAGCTCATTAGATGATGCCCAATTAATGGAAGCATGTTTTCCACATCTTGTCCACTCAGATTTACACAACTCCTCAAGCAAACACCTCCTTGGATATACCTAATGTAATACTTTTCCAGGTTTCTAGTTATTCTTTAATGTGGTCAAGTTGATACTAAAATCATCACAGTTTTCTCTAAGAAAATAAAAAAGAGCGAAGAATGCTTAAAACTATGTTCATATTTCATTTCATTAAACATTCATTAAGCAAATTATGGCAATTCTGTTAAGTAAGAATGGAAGAACATGATACTGTGGCTATATCATTAGTCTATATGTTTTCAATTTGTTTAGAATATTTCATATAATTAAAAATGAAATCAAAATGTATCTCTGGTAAAAGCCCTAAAGCTGTGGCATTTTAATATATTACTAAGATATAAAATAGATGATACATAAACTAGTCATGTGTAAATTAGCATGAATTTAGTGCTCTTATTTTATAAACACCATTGAATGTCTGAAAAGATGCAAGTTATTAATAATTCTTTATTTTCAACTTTACAAACAGTTTTTCATATGCTTGTGACACTAGTTTTAAGTAAATGCTAATTTACACTGTTTAAAAACCAATCTTGAATGTGTCTTACCTATTATTTCTTTAGACAATTAGCACTCATTAGAAACTTCTTTTAAAGCCATTTTACATATGCATATCTAAATTACACTGAGTTTTAAAACAACAGCCATTAAACTGCTGTGTTTACTTTTTCATTAATTTATATTTGAGGAAACATACCAGTCAGATTTAATTAGTTTTATTTTCAGTTCATAACAAAACTGTGTTTTTACTTCTGATGGTCACTTTTAGAATTTTCACAAACTTCATATTTTTAAGCTTTTACAAAGAAGGACTTACTGAATTTTTGCCTATGATAGATTTTATTCCTCTATTGAGTCATATTAAAATATGAAAAAGATTAAATTGGCAGAAAACACATGAAATCAGCAAAGCTAAAGAGAACATAGTAGTATTGGGAGAATTTGCAAAAATGCTGCTTATCTAGCATCACCACAGAGGCTTCCCAGAGGCCAGTTTAATTAGGCTACAATTCATATTGCAGAAAGTGGTTTTGTAATTACCTTCAAATGACCAAACAATATAGAATTCTGAGGAGAAGAGCATATTCCCAGTAATGAACCAATTTTCAATTGACTGAATATTTTATGTAAGGCATTTATTGGGCAAACGTTATTTGAGTATATGTTCCTTCAATTCTATATTCATCTACAGCTGAATTTTAAGAGTTTATTTCAGAATATATGGAAGTAATAAAAAGGAGTTAAAAATAAAACCTACCAATTTTTAAAAACATGTTTTGCTCAAAGTAAAATTACAATATCTAAAGCAGAGAAATACATACAATCCATAACTAAGTTTCAGATTGGACCTTAAAAAGTTTAATGAAACAATTGTATAAATATTTTTATTTAACATCTATATTTATAAATGATGAGTAAGAAAATAGAAATGGATCATTTTCTGATTTAAGGTGTCAAGAGTCAATTCATGTTTGCTGTCAAATAGACTCAAAAGCAACAGCTTCTTGATAACAGTCTTTATCTACATGTTTGCCTTTTCCAAGTAACTGGATAAGTGGCTCCATGGTATTAAATTACAATAGGAAAGATGAAATATAGCTCCTCTAAACTACAGAGAAATAAAATCAGCAGGCATATAGGTAGAGAAGGTGGTATTGGATTCTTTATTTAATCTAAAAATATTTGTATTTCAAGAGATGGCACAATTATTAAAAGACAAGAAATATTACCTCTAAATACTGGAAGTGTTCTTGACATTATGCAAAATTAAGGGTATCTAATTCAGTAAATTCAATATTATGATAATAAGTTATAAGAGAAAATCACAGATAAAACAACTTATTGCACATATATAATCCCAGCAATTTGAGAGGCTGAGGCAGGAGGATGACAAATTCAAAGCCAGGCTCAGCAACTTAGTAAGGCCCTGTCTCAAAATAAAAAATCAAAATAGTTTGGCATGAGATTTAGTGGTTAAGTACCCCTGGATTCAATTCCTAGTACAAAAAATAAATAAACAAACAAACAAACAAACAATGACAACAACAAAAATTCCTTGAAAACATCCAAAAAAATCACAAAAATATAATTTTGGGATAGAAATGTACAAATATTTATCATAGTATAGGCAAAAATTAAATGAATAAATAAATTTTTAAAAAGTTTTATTTAAAGTACAAAAGTTGTAAGACTAATATTTTTTAATATTTAAGTTATGAAAAATTTATTATTGTTTGGATGTAAGGTATTCCCCAAAAGCTCACTTGTGAGACAATGAAAGAAGGTTTGAAAAAGAAATGGTTTGGTTATAGCCTTAACTTAGTCAGTGAATTAATTCCTGATGGGATTAGCTGAGTGGGAACTTGTAGCAAGTGGGATATGGCTGAAGTAAGTAGTTCATTGGGGGTGTAGCTATTGGGTATATATTTTGTATTGGGCAAGTAGAGTCTCTCTCTCTCTCTCTCTCTCTCTCTCTCTCTCTCTCTCTCTCTCTCTCTCTCCTTTCTGATCACCATGTTAGCTGGTTCCCTCTGCCATACTCTTCCTCTATGATGTTTTGCTTCACCTTGAGCCCAGAGGAATGAAGCCAGCCTTCTATTGATTAAGACCTCTGAAACTATAAGCCTCCAGATAAACTTTTCCTCCTCTACAAATGTTCTGGTTTAGTCCTTTTAGTCACAGCTGAGAAAAAGCTGACTAAAACAAGTACCAATTATGTATACACTTTATAACTATTGATTATTTTTATCCTCACAGCTGAGTTAACTATTGCAAGTTTTATTTAATAGATGAAAAAATTTGAGTTAAAGAAAATTGGAATGAMTTACCAAGTTACACATAAGTAGCAACACTGGAAAAACAGTGTACTTTCTTCGATGACTTTCCTTGACAGCTATGCCAAGATATCTTTTTATCTTTTGCTGTTTGTATATTTGCTATAATATATTTTAATTAAAGCCAAGAATATATGTATATTGAACATTCATATCAATTTGTCAGCAGTTACAAGGAGAAATGAAGAGAAACACCATAGTAATGATATATAGTTYTATTGATATGAAAATTTAAGTAACAGAACTAAAARTTGAAATCCTATAAATAATCATACTTAGGCTAATAAATATTGTTCTTTGATCTGTAAGATAATTTAGCTTAAACTCAAGAACAAATAAACATTTAATATCTGATCAATATATTTTCAATAAATCAGAATTACAATATTTGATAAAAAGAAAAAATCTTCTTAGGATGCAATCTCTATGGATTTCTTGCTTTTCTAAGATGTCCTGTAAGCAGAGACATATTCTGACATTGTTCTTGATTATCTGATAATTGGAAAGTCAATAGTATTGGAAAATAGATATATTGTCTCCTTGTGGAAGAAATTTTGTTAAAACCTTAGCACACACACACACACACACACACACACACACACACACACACAAAATAGCCATTATCTATT